TATAGGCTGACGTGTATCTTCAGTGTCTGCCCTAGGCCTAAGCAGGCCGGGCGGGAATTTAGGGTTTAGGGTTCAGGGTTTAGGGTTTAGGGTTCAGGGTTTAGGGTTTAGGGCCCCCCTTAAGTGGTAAGAATCTGGTTTTGGGTATATTATAATAAGATCCCCATATACCGCATATTCTATCTACTTAAGGGGGAACATAGCCTAGGGATTCCAGGATGCGGAGTCAAGGGCTTGGGTATGAGTAATGAGAGTAATAAGAGAAATAATAGGAATAAGAGTACGTAGTAGTAATAATCGTAATAATAGTAATACTAGTAATAATAGTAATGACAGGTTTTAGGTTTTATGTTTGAGGTTTTTTTGGGTTTAGGGTTTTGGGTTCAGGGAGGGGCCTTCGGGGATTGCGGGGCTTGAAAGGGGTGTTTGGGGATCAGGGTTTGGGGCATTAGGGTTTTTAGGGGATCGCGCGGAGCCCGGATGCAAAAAGGGGAGGGGTTTCTAGGTGAAGGGGATGCCGTTGCACCGTTGTTTGACAGTGCTTGTGGCTCTTCTTGTGTTGTTAAATGTCCAGATTTAGGGCTTCGCTGGGGGGGCTTTGGAGTGGTTTCGAGAGGGACTAAGGAAGTTGGGTTGCCCGACCCCAGGGATACTGAGCAAAGAGCCCCAAAGTTCATGAGCTCCCCTACCCCCGGGTTTAGGATTTAGGGATTAGGGTTACCCCCTCTATCCTGGGTTTCCTAGGTTCCCCCTTGACTAACTTTAATTAGGCGTATTTTTCCGGAGAACCCATGACAAAGTGTTTGAACCCAGGGCAGCCGCAGTGGTTGGGTAATCCAATGACTTAAGCGCATATGGTAGTTTCCCAAAATAAGGGGATCCCACCCAAAATATTAAAATCCCTATGATAGGGACCCCCAAAAAGGTATCCCTAATTTTGGGAAACCCCCATATCTGATTGAGGAAAGGTTGCTCCAGTTCTTCTACCTGCCAAAGCCGTACCCCAGTGGAGCGGCGACCAGCATGAATCATTGGAAGAAGCGGTTTCCTGCATGCGGGGTTTAGCGGCTTGAGTTTCACCTTCGGTAAGTTGCAACATCCTGGTCATTCTTGCGGATTGTTGCAAATCAGGTGAATCCATAGAGGCCCGTACCTGGACTTCAGCATACATGGTGCAACCGACGCATTCCGCGTGGGCTTTTTTCTTTCATCGGATTACAACGTGACAGGGATGGTTTGCCGCAGCGCTTGTCAAAAGGGAGGGTTGAAGCAGTTTAGAAGCCTAGCAATGATGAACGCATCATGGCGGTAGCAAGAGGAATGCCAATGCCCACAAGAGCTGCACAGCGTTCGAGGCGCTAGTGCTGTTGGCATGGTTATTGACGGAAACGGTGCAGATTCAGGTTAGCACTTGGATTCCTCGTGAACTTTGCACGAAGTTAGCTGCAGCGTCTGCTGGGAATTGTTCGCCTATGACCAACGGTTGGATGTCATCAAGGTGCGTGTGTGTGTGTGTGACAAAACGGATGATCACGAAAAGGCTGAGGTCCTGAAGAAGAGGAGCCGATGAATTGTTGCAATCCCTTCCCATACTCAGTCGTTGTCCAAGCGAGACACTATCTTAAGACATCACGCCACAACCACGCACCAGAATTCAGCCTCCGGCGAAGCCAAACAAAGTTCGTAAGCCCGGCCTCAAGAATCTCAGGACACGAAGGACTTGATCCGCAAGGTCTTAAGTGGCGACGTGACCTCGGGCAAGCGCCTTAGAAAGGCTTTCTTTCCTATACCAGAGCCTTTGTTCTGGAGTTCATCTCTACGATCTGCTGTGGAGCTTGGCAGGGACCGCCTTTTAAGTGCGATGCGCAGAGAATTTTGCTACATCGGTAGCAGCTCCCATTAAACGTAGTTTTGAGCCTTCCTCCTACAGTCTGTCATCAGGGTCCAGAACCTTTGGACCTCACATTGCAGTGCATCCAGGTGAGGAGATCCTACAAGAGCTGGAGAGGCACAGAGGGGTCACAGGAAGCTTGCCACCATACAGATTTCGGTCGAAGTCTGGCATCGTGTGTGCAGGAATACGTCTTGATTGTTTATTTATAGCGTTTCCCAAAGGCAGCTGTGGCTTTCAAGTTTCCGCATTCAGCTTTTGCCATGTAAGCCCAATCTCGTCTGTAAACAGTCCCAATCCTGATTTTGACATCATATACTATAGTAGTTTCCAATCTATTTTCCATCATCCCTATATAGCCCCAATATACCATAGTAGCTTCCANNAGCTTCCATTTTATTTTCCATTGTCCCTATAGAACCCCAATATACTAATTGGACTTCTGCTCCTGAAGAGGCTTTTCCCTGAGCTGCACCAGAAGATTGGCACGCATGCTGCCTTCTCATCCGAGAATGAACGGCACCGCGCGCTGTCTTGTATGCTGAGACACCTGGCAAGACATGGGATACGTCTTCACTTTAGGGCTTTGTGTACGGGTTCATGGTTCTAGGTTTTGACACTGTATATCTGGTCACCTGATTGGCTTTCCGTTGCTCGTGTCTTCTGATGCTTGGAGAGATTTATCCAGCACAGCTTCTGTGTATGCAATAAACTGAGATCCTGCTCTCATGGCTCACCTTGTAGGCAGCACGAGCGTACGCGGATTGTTCAAGAGCAAGCGCCCTGATTTCATGTCAATAACGGGGAGAAAATTGGTGTGTTGTAATCATGATTTTTTTGACTGCCGTTGGCACTGCACAAGCAAGTCTGATTTGCACCACTTGGACGAGATGATGACTCAGACAATAACCATCGACCTCCACTTCTCGATGCCAATTCCTTCACCTCCTCTACATTTTTTTGCAGTTGCAGTTGAATTAAGTACAACTACCATGACAGCTGCTGCTGATGCTGCTGCTCTTGCAGCTGCCGCTGCTGGTGCTAGTGCGTTTCCATTTCATGTTTGATTTCATTTTTCATTTGATTTTCCGTCATTGGAGATCATATATCCACAATCATTTTGGGGTTGAAGGTTTGATGTAGTATCAATATAGTATAGTCCTCATGATTGGATTCCCCAAAACGGATTCCCAAGTTTTGGAAAACCCCCTTTCAGCATCTGAGGTGTCTTCTGGCTGGCACTGGATAGATATGAAGACTTCGTGAGCGCGCAGGAGCCATCTCGAGCTCTTCATTTTGGGTTATGCAGGGTATATGTTTGGGTTACATTGGGATTATACTGGGATAATGGAAAAGAAAATGGAAACTACTATTTAGGGTTTAGGGTTTCGTATTAAGGCTTCAGGCTTTAGGTTTTGAGGGTTCAGGCTTTAGGCGAAGGCTTTAGGGTTTAGTGTCAGGGGTGGCCGTTCAAACGAGTCCTTGCGCCCAGCAGTCTGAAAGCATTCCGAAAGATTTTGAGTGGAAAGCAACTTGAGACTAAATCTTGGTTGCTGCCTCAGGATGTCACCCACAGCTCATTCTCTAGACAACTGGCTCGTATGTAGAGCTTCTTGCTTCCCTTCAATCAGGTCTAAGATGCTCCTCCTTCCCCCCTAATGCCCTGTTGGATGAGAATTCGCATGCCATGCAAGTGGCAAAGCAAGCCTCAAATTTTCTACGCCCCAAAACCCCTCATTCCCTACCGTAACCATGCTTGGCTTGAAGCCTTCAACTTCTACACCTCAAACCCTGTATCCCTTGCAGCTTCCCGCTTGACAGTCGCCCCGCGAGCGCCTCACCGAAGCCAATTGGCAGAAGCTGCAGGCAGACAGTTTGTAGGCGCTATGTAGGGATATGCAGCGACGTATACGGATGTAGGATTCTGGGTTTGGGGCTGAGGGTTTGGGTTGAGGGTTTGAGCGCGCAGGGCAGGCATGGTAGAGGACTGAATGCTAGCTATACATTCCTCCTGGCATTTTGTAGAGTTACCTTTCTAATATTTCTATAATGTGTCTTGAACGAACTCTGGGTAGGATCCAGCAACCAGCCCGTTTTGCACACGCCCGAAAACTACATTGTTGGGACCTGCTTCATTTCCTGCTTTTGTGACACAGTCCAAGGTCTTTTGGCAGGGTTGGATTCTCAAAAGCTTCCTTGGTGTCTCAACTCTCCAGGATACTACTTTGTTATTGTTATTGGACTCGCCGGGGCGTAAACACACAGGATCGGCCTATTTGTCCAAGCTACGCCCCATTAGTCCAAGAGAGTGAAGCATCGGCCCGTTAGTCGTCCAGAAACGCTGATTAGTGAAAACCGCAGTGTTTTGGCAAGGGCAGGCTTGAAAAGCCTACTTTTTTGACGTGTATTTTCGGGACTCCCAAAAGCTGCGTGCTTGCTGAAGAAAGGACCCCACTTCCTTTTTCTGAAAGTGACGGCCCGACCAGGACTTCGTCACTTGGGTTGGCATACGCGACAACGTAGAATGGATCCACGGCGCCCGGCCTCAAAGATGTGGTTTGAGGATGATCTTATCGGAAGAGGCCTTCATGACAAGCTTGACAACTCAGTTCATGGCATGCGTAAGCCTGATCTGAGGTATGCTCGTTTACCTGGCTGTCAAAGGCACGGGGTGATCACATGAGATCAAGTGTCTGATCGTATGTCATCCTCATTGTGGCCAACCTTGCTGTTATCCCACAATACAGGGCCGCCGGGCCACCCATATGCCTACAAATATTATGGTCCTGGGTTCCTTGGACCTGAACATGAGATTGCTAGTCATTCCCACCCTGTACTATATATATACATATTGTATTTCAGTGCGGAGCCTCTCAAAAAGCCTCGCATGCTGTCACATGCATCTGAGAGATCATGACAATCTTAGATGGCTGAGTCTAGGCCTGTGTAGGCAATTGGGACAACTCTGCCCCTTGCTGTGAGCCCGATATGATACCACTCGCCCTCGGGCCCCTGTTTGCGCCCTGATGGGAGCCCACTTTTGACAATCTGCCATGTTACAATGTAAGCCATCTAGTGTCAGTATCACTATGACTGTTAACCGAAAGAACTTTGGGGATCCCTGTAATCAGGATTCTAGAATTTTGGGGTCCAAATTTGGGTCCCATGTCCATTATCTGGCCAGATCATGAAACCAGCTGCAAGCCTTTGGCCGTGGACTAGCGGTGAACAGACAGCGAGGGAGAACGTATGGATAGCAAACAGATAACTAGATAGATGGATGGTAGTTTCCATAAATAGGCAGACCCCAATATAGACACCAAAGTTCTGTAATACTACTTCTTATAACTTTTCCTTATCATTTGATTCTCCATTATTCCGGTATGATATCCTTATATAACCCCAGTACAGATACATAGATAGATGCCTGATTATTTTACCATGCTTGTCTGACCCGGTGCGCAGGCCTTGGCCGCTCCAAGAATCTTGGCCAAAGAGCTAAAGAGCTGGACATGCGGTAAGGGTTTAGGATTTGGGTCTTAGGGTATAGTTCACAATCAAATGGAACATAAACTGGAAGCTGCTATCATTTTTGCAGACATATACATCTATGGGAGTTTCTAACAACTACGAGTCAAATTGTGTGGGGATGTTCTAACAGGATCCACGCTTGGAGAAATTCCTCTTGAAGCCTGTCTATTTCATGGCCTTTCTGGCCGTCTCGCGTTTGCTAAACAAAGCGTCTGCTACTTAGCTTCGCTTTGTTGCCCGAATTTGTACTTTGAGGTTTAAAGCTTACGAGGCTTCGTGGTTTTTTATAGAGCAGCAGCTTCTACAAAAGCCGGAAGTTTGGGTTGGCGTCTCCAAAGCCCGCGGGCAATTAGCACCACGGATGCTCCCGTAGCCGCAGATACATGCAAGGTTTGATCAGAGGATCTGGGTACACCTTACTCCCAAGGATCTTACAGCTATCCTGTGACTATCATAGCCTTACAAATTTGAGGGCTTGGGCTACCAAAATCACCTCAGTAGATTTTTGCCTTGTACCTATGAACCTTTATCACTGCCAACTGCATTGTTATGGGTATTGCCACTAGCCTCAGCCCTAAAAGCTCTATTGCTACCGTGTTGTCTTGAATTTTTTTGCGTTGCCATGCAGCTAGCTAAGGAACTTGACCCTGCAGCTACCGAGCCACTACCAACAGCCTGACGCTGCTGTGCTGCTGGGGCCTGCTTAACCGTGTTTATGCGGTCTACGTTGTGCTGCAAAGGGTGAGGTGTTAGTGTAAAGAAGCCTGGTTCTGTGCCCCTCTGACCCCCGACCCTGAATTTGCAGTCCCAGTAGAAGAATCTCCAGAAAGGCCCCTCCCGCCCCGTTGTGCCATTTTGTGTTGAAAGTTCCAAGCCGTGGAACCGAGGACCCGACTGCTGGAAAGGTATCGCAATGTTGTGCTTCTTGGCATCCAAGTGTTAAGATGCGGAGCTTAGTCTTGCAATCATCATGTACTCACTCGATACGTAAAATTTCCTTCTGCAGAAGGGTTAGGGCTTGCTACTGCGTTGCTGTAAAGGAATTTCATTTAAATCACTACATTGGGGAAAACCTATTATTTACTATACATGCCCCTTATGGTAACTTAATTTAAGTGCCTTAGTAGCAACCCAGGTTAGGGCTTGCTAGGGTTGAGAGTCTGAAGTGCTGCCATGGCAGGCCACTTGTGAAGCGGTGTTCCGAATCCCTTGACAGATCCTGCAGCAGGGAAGTTGTTCGGAGTTCGCTCTTGATTCGTCATCTGGAGGGTCAGGCGGACTTGGCAAGTATACGGATAAGCCCTATGTAAGCCATGTAATTACCTCAGCAATCCCCATCATTAACCTACGACTGGCCTGTCTGCGCCGACCAGGCCGTCAGTTCTGCAGCTCGGAGAGGGCGTCCTGGAGCTCTTGATCAATGTGTCAAGGACCCTCGGCAGGGACTTCAACGGCTTCTTGCATCGGCGAGCTTGTGTATTGCAGTTTCTCTCCGCATCTTCTGTGACAAAATTTGTCCTGTTGCTCCTGACACAGCTTTTGCTTATTATAGCTCTTGGATTTTGTTTGGGCGATCTTGCTCTAAAAGCAAAAAGACAATCTCAATGATTCTGGTCATAGCAATCACACCGGTTTCTGCGAAAACTCGGTGGGGTTGCAAGCTCTGTAAGCCAGCCCCTGACGCTGCGGATTGATATTCGCGGGTTCCTCTGCCCCAGTCTCGCGGGAACAACAGAGGGATTGACAGTGGGCATTTGTAACTGATTCAGAAAATCCGAAATGCTTCCCGCGCTTACAGTTCGTCCTGCTCCCCCTAAATACATTTTGAACCCAGGTAGGATTTTCTCGTGAGATCAAGCGAGTGAGAGGTGAATGAACCTGACGTCTTGACATGAGCATTCTGTCCGCTTGTCAACTCAGTATGCACGAGAGCTTCATGTTCGGCCAGTTCATGCAGGCTGCTGCTTGGGACAACCTGACAGGGCGGAACTGTTCCTCAGATAAGCCAAGCATCCCTGCATGAAATTTCTCGCGCACCTAGCACTGGATGCTGGAATTCAATACAGAGATGTGTGCTGAGGGGATGGAATTGACAAGTCGCTACCCTCTCCCTCCATCCCTCCTGTCTTTACCTCTCTCTTTACTTCTCTCTTACCTCTAGCTATGAAGGCAAGCCAGAAGCCGGGGCACTTCCCACCTGACATCTGCAGTTTCAGTGCAGACCTTCTGGCGGGCAGGCCGAAAACACCCCGCTGAGCTTGCAGCTCCTGCAGCAGAAGCCAGTACCCAAGTGAACTCATCGTCCGTGGGGGGTTTGACCTCCAAATCCCTGACTCCTCAAAATTAGCGGGGGAGGTTTGCTGCTGGACTTATGATCAGGAGGCAATCAGAGATAAGAACAAGAATTGCTGAGTGCACTGAGGGCGCTGGAGAACAACGACGTCCCAGCCTACAAGCTTTTCCTCTTCTCCGCCCTGGCCATGCTTGCCGGAATCGGAGCGCGAGAAGGCAACGGAGTTGGTGCTTGCGGCTGCTCAGGTGACTTCATATACCCTCTTACGCAACCCCTGTGGTTGGCTGTACCTGCTTGACAAGACAGGATAAGACAGGCTGCTAGTGCACAACCCACTAGCACTTGTATGTGTTTCAAGCTCGGGCCCGAACGCAGATGCAATTGTGAGGCTGCACCGGGGCTCCTTTCCTGAATGACGGCCATGGCCAGAGCGTCCTGTTCGGTCTGGAGGCCCGAGCTGGAAGCCTTCTTCTTGGAGGTCCTGAGCCGGGCAACTGCCCAAAGGCAGAGTAGGACTCTGTATTGCTGCAGCTTAGGGCCCTCCAAGAACCCAGTCGAAGCTCATCCGCGCCTCAAAAGGTGGTTGCCTCTAAATGCGCCACAGGAGCTGTAGTGTAAACTCCTTAAAAGGGGTTATACAGGGGATCATATAGGGGAGTAATTTAGGGCTTATTGAGGAAGATACTAGGAGTTTAGATTATGGCTCACGTGCTACTGCACTGAAGCTACTGCGCCCGCCGCCGCTCCACAGATGCCGCTAGCACATGCGAGAGTCCGTCGGAAACACCGAGCTACTACAGCAAACCCTCTTTGCTTCTGCTGCTGCTGTTTTGATTCTGCTGTTTTGATACCCCTGATGCGACTGAAAACTTGCTAATCTGCAGGCCCTCAAGCATCTTCAGGAGAAGACCTGCCAGGAAGTATATTGGAGCTGCTTGGATTCCTCAGAAGACCCGCTGCGCATGCTTGACATGTCTGGCTTCAACTGCCTTTGAGATGCTGACGCCGAGGCTACGTGTGCAGCTGGGGGCAGACGCTGTCCCTGCCGAGCAAGACGCTTCAGGTGGCCTGCCTGAATTGGAGTCAGAAATCAGAGTTGGTGTTGAGGCTTTTGGATGCAGGGTGGGTATCTTCGGAAGTTATTTGCTCAGGCACTTACCTTCCGGATCTGTCTTCTTTTGCCACCCGTGTATACATATAAGCTTCACTAGCAGTCTTACATAGTCTGACAATTTGGTGGTGCCCTAAACCCTCAAAACAGGGCGTTGGCTGTTGAGCTTGACATCCTTCAGCTTGAAATCTCAACCCGGATCCTTCCTTGCCTTGCTTCGGCGATGCAAGCGGCAAAGCCCTCAAACCAGGCACTTGAGTGCGGGCAGCCCATTTTGGTTTCTGCCAACTTCTGACTAGCCACGCTTGCCTTGCCGTCTGCATCGACCCTGCAAGCGCTGGACCCGACATAAGTCGAAACAACCCCCATTTTTACTTGAACTATAGTCACTCCTAGTATCCCCCTTAGCAACCCCCTTCGTAGTCCCCTACAAAACGCCCTGTTAAGGAGTTTAGACTATAGCTCACTTGCAGAACCTTGAGGGATCCCAGAAAAGCATTGGAAGGACCTGGCCTTCCTACGCTTCGCCTGCATCTGCCGAACACGCAGCTGGGCAGGTTGCAAATTTGAATGTACTGTTCTGTGCACTGTGCAACACAATTCAGGTGAAGAGTACTCTAGGTGGGGGTGTTATAGCTCCTGGTTGTAGCAGTGGTGCTCAGAAGGAGAAGATCACCGCACCTGGCTCAGCCCAGCCCCCAAGAAATAAAGGTTGAGGACGGCTTGCTGGGACTACGCAGGGGGATACATGGTAGTTTCCCAAAATAGGGGGACCCAATATAGACCCCAAAATACTGGAGTCCTTATCATAAGGACCCCGAACAAGAAATCCCTAACTTGGGGAATCCCCACATAGGGCTGTGTAGAAATTTGTAGTGGCAACATCATCGACATGTAGTGGCAACGTCAGGGTGCTGCTGGTAGCACTGCTGCGCCTGCACCTAGCACGCATAATCCTCATCGTCAAGGCCCCGGTAGAACTTGTTAATCTCCTCCCCCTAATATTACCCCCGCGAACCCCTTGACAATAGATACTCCCAACATACTCTAATACACCCGCAGAATGGGAGTACTTAATACTATGGGGGGTCGGGGGGTGCAATATTGGGGGGAGGGGATTAAGGTTCATAAAAGCCTTGCTAACGGGAACACATCTTGTTCCTAGTGAAGTGGCAAATGGTGACATCTGGGTGAGGAAGCCCGCCACGGTTGCCAACAAGAAGCCCAGAGACTGGATTCCTCTTTATTTGGACCCGTATGGCAGGTTAGCATTTACTCTTGAAAGCTAAGTTGACTGGCTGGCCTTTGAGATTTTTCCATTTTTGGTGATTTCAACCACGTTGTACATTACCTGGGTTTGCGCAAGCCCAAAGAACAGCCAATCTTGGAGGAATTCAATAAGAAAGGGTGTCGTGCAGGTGTACCTCAAGACAGGGGTACTGGTGTCGTGCAGGTGTACCTCAGGATGGGGGTATTGTAGCACAAAAACCTGTAAACCACGAATCCTTAACTTTCATAGCAACAGTTACGCAGAAGGGAAGCGATTCCCAAAGTGAGGGATTCACTTCCGTACGCCAAATACTTGGTGCTGTGCTCCTCACTAATTGGTACCCGCAGCCTGCCAAGGAGAGTACGGTGCTCTTCGAAGCGTCCCCTGGCAAGCTTTCATGAGATCATGGATGTTGTTTTTCGGGGTCCATAATTTCAGGGATAGATTGGGTCTCTGAGCGTTCCGCACATGTGAAATGCACTCCTAGTGGCATGATTTTTTGGCATACCAGGCTTTGGGTCTCTATCCATTGGTCCCTAAAGTTTACCAGGGCAAGACGTCTTCGCCCTGTCACGCGCAACTTTCCAGCATATACCCCGCACTGAACCCAGAACCCTGAGCCCTGGTTTTGGCCCAAGCAATTCTTGCGATGCTGCTATCTCGTCTTGTGATTGTCAGAGCTTTTGCTCGAATGATTTCTGGGTGTGGGCGACTGCTTCTAATTCAAATGTGTAGAATCCCTGAATTCAGGAGGGGAGCTGGAAGCGCGTCATCAGCATGAGCGTATCGTGGGGAAACGGGGGCCGCTTTTTTGCTTGCCCTGACCTTGTGAGTGAAATAGTGGATGACGAAGATGGCATTCCGACATGCCTAAGCTTTGTGGAGACTGGCGCCCGCAGTGCTCAGATAGTCTGGTGTCCGTCCGTGGCTAGCTCCGTTCATGTTTTCTTTCTGCTGACTGTTTCAGCTGTCGTCTACAGACCAGAACCAGTGATGCCATTAATTTTCTGATTCCTTGCCAATTCTCGCATATCACTTTACTCTTTCAATGTTCGTGATTATCTCTAGCAAGCGTCTTTATGAGTTCCGAGAGCCCATGCTACTCTAATCTGACGTTGGCTCGCTCCTTGGGGCATCATTTGGGGGTCTTCTTGTTTTTTCTCTCCTGCCATCATGTCCTTATGTACATGTAGATGTGTGGATGTTCATGCATATGTACATACACACTTATACATATATGAGTAGGGGTTTTCACAAAATTAGGGGTAACATTTTGGGGGGTTCCCCACAATGAGGATTGTAATATGTTAAGGTCTGTATTGGGGTCCCCGAGTTTTGGAAACTACCATATCCTTTGGGTGTATATAGCCCTTAAGACAATATGTATATATATATATAAATGTATCTCTCTCTCTCTCTCTACACATTAAAAAGTAGATATAAATAGACATGTCTGCTCCCTGGTCCGCTGAGGTGTTAGCCAGTTGGACCGGCTTGGATGTGGCAGACAGAGAAAGCCTTACCGCAGCTTCGGTTGGGTTTAGGTTTAGGGTTCAGTTGTAATGTTTTGGGATGATGGGGGTGTGCAGAGGGGCCTTGATTTCTTGGAATGTCGTTTTGGGGTCCAAGGTCTACTCTGCAGGTCCATCTGCGCATTGTAACTGAAACAACCCCACAACAGAGGTTCTAGGCTTGCAGTGTGCCGTCTTGAAGCTGTAAGTCATTCTAATGGCCACCTGAGCTTTCCAGGTTTTACTATGTTGCTCTGCAAGAAGCAGGTGACAAGTTCAGTACTCCGTTTTTCCTGTTGACAAGCAGAACATGCCGAGGCACAAGTTCTTATCAGGGTTTAGGGTTCAGGGTTGGTTACATGTGTCTTGAAACATCGGGTTTCTTGGCCCAGAAGTTTGGGAGTCTGCAGAGGATTCCTTGTCAGCACACAGTTCGCTTGGGCATTCCAGCCACTTCCCACTAGCAGCCTGAAAGATTGTATGTCAGATCCAACCCTCAATTCAAAACTCTAACCGACTCTAACCCTGAATCCTGGTTGTGTCCAAGGAGTTCTTTTTAGCCGATGGTATTCATTGCCATGCTTGCCTTTTCAGCTACCTCCCGGACTGCTTCTTGGCCTGAGTAGAGGATGCGTTGGCTTTCTCAGGCCTTAGACTTTGGGGCTTAGGGTTTTTGGTCTTGAATTGAATATCTGGGGTGGGCCCAAGGTAGAGGATCATGAGAAAAGGCAGTTGTTGTTGTGGAAACTGATTCCATGAAAAGAATCGAACACGGAGAGACTTAGCATCTGGCCAAAGCCATAAGCCTGGGTCGGGAGAAGCATAGCAGACATCTAGAAATCACAGAGTTTCAAAATTCAGAAGGCACTTCAGCTATCCTCAAGCCATACAAGGGTTCTTCATCGCCTTTGGGGATATTCTAAGTGATGGTCCATCTCCAGAACGTATCATCTTAAGCTTGACAAACGTTGCATCTGCGCGTGGCGTGCCCAGGCTTTGCAAAAGCGCACCAGACACCTGGCTTGTGGCTTATGGGAGATTGTATTTCTTTTTTTTTGTCTTTTTTCCAGGCTTAGGATGTAGTCCGTGTACGTAATGAGCGGGCTGCACTCAGTTGGCAAGTCGTTGCAGAACCTTGGTTGCGCATTTGCTGGCAGCTGTTCCAACCAGGGGGCTGCACGAAAAAGGGTTTAGCGACTAATTACTTCAAATCTGTGAGGGCATGGGCATCAGCATCCTAGATCTTGCAGGCAGAGCTAAGGAAGAAGATGGAATGGGTTCATTACTAGAGCGAAGAGCGAAGTGTGCAACTTCCTTTGGTACCAATCAGTGCGACTGCAGATGATGAAGAGAGCAGCTAATCTTTACCATTCTTTAATCTGCTTTGGGAGGCCCAAACCTTTCTGCCCTAGGGATCTAGTAGATCTAAGAGCTTCAAAAGACGAACAACCCTGCTGAACCGCGCCGAGGAACACGCGAGTTGGCCTGGAGACCATGCTGAAGATAGGGTTACCAATTTAGGGAAGGCAAGCAGGAGTATGTCAACGGTAGCTGTATCCAGTGGCAAGAGAGTCTCACCGTTGGATGCTCTCTTTTAGATCTCTGTTTGAGTAATGCTCTAACTTGGCACCTTTACAGCGACACCCTACGGTTTGAGACTTGTTGGGCTGGTGGTGGCATGTTTGGAATTCCTGGGAGACCATGAAAAGCCCAAATCAAAAAGCCTTAGCTCAGGAATCGATGCTGGCACTCTTGGTAGAGCTGGTGGAGATCACGTGGACCCAGCTGGCGGCATCTCACTGAAATAGTCCTGCACAGGTTGTAGACCCTAAAGACAAGGTGATTTGCATGCCGTGTTCGGATGTGGAGGAAGGGATCGATTTCGAGACTGGATGTGCGTGCTGACATGCTATGACACGGGTGCAACAATATCTAAAAACCCACGCGAGGTAACCCCTTGTCGGTTTTGTGTGGCTACTTCGTAGCCTACCCATGGCGATGCGGATGCCCTATTCTGATATGAGACGCACGTGTGTAG